TCTTTAAAAAAAAAATTAAAAAAGATTTGATGTGTGACTGTTCTGCCTGCATGTGTATAAGAGCATCCATGTCATGTAGTGCTCACAGAACTCAGAAGAGGGTGTTGGATCCCCCCGGAAATGGAGTTAAGGATAGTTGTTAGCCGCTATGTGGGTGCTGGGACCTGAACCTGGGTGATGGTCAAGAGCAAGAAGTGCTCTTATCACTGAGCCACCTCTCCAGCCTCCAATACTCACAGTTGTATCTTTGGCACTCATCCTCCCTCTATCGTACAGCATTTGCCTAGCATGTTCAGGGTCCTGGACTCAATGCTTAAGATTTAAAAAAAAAATTGTGTCATGTGTACCTACATGGGTTTATGTGAGCCACATGCTTGCAGGAGCCCACAGAAGTTAGAAGGTGTTAGATTCCTTGGAGCTGGAACTACAGGTAGTTTTGAGTCACCATGTGGGTGCTGGGAACTGAACTAGAGATGGCTGAGCCATCTCTTCAGCTCCACCACCAAAAATAAAAGCCCACTGCTGTAACTTATATTTTTACAGGTTTTTTTGGAGACAGGGTCTCTCTGCAGCCCAGCTGGCCTGGTACTCTCTATGTAGACCAGACTGGCCTCAATCTCACTTCAATCCTCCTGCCTCTGCTTCTGCCTCCAAACTGCTGGGATTAAAAAGGAGGTGCCAGCCAGGTGTGGTGGCGCATGCCTATAGTCCCAGCACTTGGGAGGCAGAGGCAGGCGGATCTCTGAGAGTTCAAGGCCAGCTTGGTCTACATAGTGAGTTCCAGGACAGCTGGGGCTTACAGGGAGACCCTGCTTCAAAAAGACAAAAAAAAAAAAAAAAAAAAAAAAAAAAAAAAAAAAAAAAAAAAAGGAGGTGCCACCACCAAGCCTGGCCCTACTTTCATATTTAAAAAAAAAGAGATTTGTATGTGACTATAAGCACTCGTTGTGCGGATGCCTGTGCCAATGCACATGTCCAGAGGCCAGAAGGGTGTTGGTATCCTCTTCTATCACTCTCCACCTATTCATTTGAGGTAGGGTCTCTCCCTGAACCTGAGGCTGGGGGTTCCTTGGCTAGGCTGGAAACCAGCAAGCCTAGTCTTCACTGCCAGCAAAGCTGGGGTTACAGACATGCACAGGGTGTTCAGCTTGCTATGTGAGTGCTCAGATTTGAATTCTAGACCTCGTTATTGCATAGTAAGCACTCTTCACTGCTAAGCCACCTCTCCAGCCCCTACCCTTTTATATTTCACACTACACTGGTTATATGAAAAATATATTACTGAGTTATGCCCATTTTCCAAATGGCATTTTTCATCTTAAAGCATTTTTAAAAAAGATATCATATATAATACCTATTTTAAAGATATTTATTATTTTATGTGTATGAGTGTTTCGCCTGCATTTATGTAAGTACGTTACCTTCATTCAATGGTAATGTAACTGTTATGGGGTAACTAACCACTTTCTATTTAATCTCAGGCTTGCTCCACAGGAAGGAATTTGTAACTGGTACTGTAATCCTGTCAAAAGCTTCTGGTTGAGGTCATAGGCCCTAGAGGGGAAGCTACTGTTGTTTGGCTAAATGTACGTATGTGCCGTCAAATGGCCTTCTGAATTACTTGTGTTTATGCCCAAAGATTAGTGCTGCTGTCAGCTTTAGTTAGAGAAGGTTCTTTGTGCAGTGGTTACTACAGACTCTTCACTGGTGGAGAGTGAGCGAATGCAGAATGCTCAGCTCTACATGGGACAGCTCTATCACCCACTCCAAGGTTCAGGGACTATCCCAGAAGAAGCAGAAAGAATGTTAAGAGCTGGAGGAAAGGGAAGAGTGCTGTGGACCCCTGTCTTCTGAAACCAACAACAGTTGTGATTACCTGCATAAAACCTGCAGGAGACTGTGTCAACACACCACCTTGAAAGGGAGAAGGGTTCAAGAGGTAATGAGACACTTTCTTCTTGGTAACCTGCCCATGCTCCTATAAGGGAACACTAAACTCATGATGTCATCCCCCAAAAGATAAGAAAGGTAGGGGGAAAAAGAAGGGCTCAGTGGGAGTGGGGTGAGAGGGTGATGGGGGAGGGTGTATGTTACATACCCAAAAAATTAATAAATTAAACAAAAAGCTGGACATGGTGTGCACACCTTTAGTCATAGTACTCAGGAGACAGAGGCAGCCAGATCTCTTGAGATCCAGGCCAGCCTGGTCTACATAGTGACCCTGTGTCAAAAAAACTGAAATAAATAACATTATATACATGTATAAAAGTGCCATAATGAGGACCTGGAGAGATGATGGCTCAGTAGTTAAGAACACTTGCTGTTCTTCCAGAGAACCCAGGTTTGACTCTCAGCACCCACATGGCAGTGAAAAGCTGTCTCTTAACTCCAGTTCCAGGAGCTCTAACACCCTCTTCTGGCCTCAGCAGGGTATTGCATGCACATGGTGCACTTACATACATGCAGGCAAAACACTCATAAATGTTTTTTAAATGCCATAATGAAATCCATTATTATGTATAATACATGCTAGCTAATAAATCTTTAAAAAAAACTCCATAAACAGCACAAGTGCCAAAGCCTAATGACTACTTCTCATTTTATTAGATATTAAAAATCCAAAGATGTAGGGGCTAGAGAGGTTAAGGGCACAAGCTACTCTTGGGAAGGACTCAGGTTCAGTTCCCAGTATCCACACATAGTTTCTCACAATGTTAGTAATTCCAGTTTGAAGGGATCCAACACCCTCTTCTGGCCTCCTCTGGCACTGCACACATAATGTACACTTACACACATGTAGGCAACACTCATACACATAAAAAGCTTTAAAAATTTTAAACAGGTTTACTTAAAAGCTGCAATTTAATAACATTAACAGTTTTATACTAAGTGCCCCATCAAGTAACAGACAAGAGTGTGGGGCCACTGCTTCACTTTGTAGGAAGACAAAGTCAGTAGTTTTACCCAGCAACACTTTTGGATCACCAATACAAGTAATTGAAAAAAGTCTTTCTTATAATTCTAAAAACAGCATGACCTCAAAAACCCCCTGAAAGGGTCTGAGGAGGATCTCCAGGGATCAGCTGACCACAATGTGGAACCACTATTCACCTGAAAATTCTTTTTTTTTTTTTGAGACAGGGTCTCCCTGTAGCACCTGCTGGCTTGGAACTCGCTATGTAGACTAGGCTGGCCTCGAACTCAGAGATCTGCCTGTCTCTGCCTCTCAAGTGCTAGGAATAAGGGTGAGCGCCACCACGCCTAGCTTCAATTTAACTTTTAACATTGTATTTTGAGCATTTTTACATGAGACCAGTAATAACTTTTTAAAGATTTTTTAAAACAAAATCTTTATGTGTATTTCTGTGGGTGGGTGCCTGCAGAGGAGAGAAGGTGGTGATCCCCTGGAATTGGAGTTACAGTTGTTAGCTGCCATGTGGGTGCTAACTGGTCTTCTCCAAGAACAGCCAGTTTTCTTAACCGCTGAGCCATCTCTCCAGCCCCGAAACCAGTATTTCTTAATGTGATTAACTTAGTTAAGGGCTGCCTATTGAGGAACACGGCCCTCGACCCCACCCAGAGATTTCCAGGACAAAGTCCTCTAACTTCACATTTAATAATCTCCAAAATACTTTTTTATGCACTCTGAAGTTGAGGCCTATGATTCACGAAGAGTCAGAGTGCAAGCCCTAGGTCCAGAGCCAGGGTTTGGAAGTCATTGTTCTTCAGCAGCAGCAGTAGCAGCCTCTCCCTTCATCTAGTTGGGGAAATTCTTAGAAAAATAAAACCCTTTCTGTGGAGCTTTCTTCAGAGGACGGTGCATAAAGCGCGGCGACAAGAGCAACCCTCTGTTCCGCTCTGATACAACTCTATCTTAATTTCCTTCTCCAGAATGAAAAGACCAGAAGACTGACCACGCTCCCTTCTGCAGCGAGCAGAGGAAGCTCCGCGACTGACAGCTCCAAGGAATCCCACACCGCAGGAGGACCCGGGACAGCACCTGGAGAGCGGGGCAGTAGCTGGCTGGACAGCATCACCGGTTTAGACTAGGTGTTAGGGATCTAAAGAAAATAGTCCTCGGGATAAACATGGCGCCTACAGCGGCAGGACATAATCACCAGGAGACTCTGCCCATTCCATTTTATAAATCACGGCGCCATAGTGCATAAATTTGGGGGCAAGGGAGGAGACTTCGTCAACTGGCTGCTGGGGCTCGGGACGTCCTCGCGGACAGAGCGGATTACATAACACAAGGGACCGGCTTGTGCAGCCACTCATTTTCCTCCTCCCGCCCAAACCTAGCGCTCTCACTTTCCCTCAACAGAATATTAGCGAGCTAAATCCAACAGCATGTTAAATAGATTACATACCATACATGTGGGACCTACCCCAGGAATGTGAGCAGGTCAACATTTTAGAATGAGAGAAGAGCAAAGCTGTCTCACCTGAAAAAGGTAAGGCCAGGTGTGGTCTTGAGAGGTAGAGGCAGGGGAGTGAGGAGTTCAAGGTCATCATCAGCTATATAGCAAGTTTGAGTACAATTTCCACATGAGGCTCCGATTCCAAAAATAGAACAATAAAGAAGGAAGGAAAGGAAAACAAAAGAAAATCACACCTTCATGGTAAAGAGACTTTAAAAACTAGCAGTAGGGGATGGAGAGATGTGGACCAGGTGCAGTGCTTCCTGCTCTTCAAGGAACCCCAAGTTCAGTTCCCAGTACTCACATAAGGCAGCTCACAATAACATGTAACTCCAACCACACACACACACACACACACACATACACACACACACGCGCGCGCGCGCGCCCCACGGCCGCAATTGCCCCGAGCTGCGCCGTCTCCAGCGGAGCGCGGGCGCGTGCCCGGCCCCCTCCCCCACTGGCGCGCGCCCCATCCCCCTCTCATTGTCTGGCTACGGAGCGCCTCGCCCAGCGAAAAGATAACGGAACCCCCGGGAGCAGGGGGTGGGGAGCGCCGCGGCTCGCTCGCTCACTCACCTCCCGTGGTCGTCGCCGCCGGTAGTCTGACCCGAGGAAGGCGCCGTCGCCTTAAAGGGACCTTGCACCCGGCGCCGGGAGTAGGGGGTGGGAGCAGGGGAGGGGACGGGGGCTTAGGGGGGAGACGGACAGGGAGTCTTTGTAAGCTCGTCTCCCCGAGGGTGAAAGGAAGCCTCCCTCGGGTTCGAGTGACTGGGGTGGATTTTTTTTTCCCGAGGGGGGC